TATTCCTTTTGGGCTAAGATGTTAATATTAGATCAAGTCTGGCTGTTGTGAAAATTCACAAGATGGTTTTAATTCTTCATCTGCACTGGGTTTCTGTATGTGGTATTTAAAACAAATCCATTGACTTGATTCTCAAAGGACACCCCTCTTCTGGTGACAGTCCTCAGGCTGCACAGGTGTGCCTAGGAGCTGTCTCTCCAGTCTGAAGACAGGTCTGCCTGGGTTCTCAAGAGCTAGGAGGAAGTGGAAGCTCTGGTGCATGTTCAGAGGGCAGGCCTGACTGAAAAGAATGTTTATCCATCAAAGGAGCAAAGGCCGGTTAGTGACAGGATGGAATCAGTCCAAGGCATGAAGGGATTATGGTCACAGTTGAGGAATTCAGAGTATCAGCTCCAAAGGGCGAGGCCCCTCCAAAAATGGCAGAACGCAGAGCAAGAACATGTTCTGGAAGGAACACAGGTAGCTGGGGAACAAAAGCTAAGGAAGTGGTTCTGAACTAAAACTAGGGCAGGCACATACATTGTGATTAAACCTAAGCCGGAACTCCCCAGTCATTGGAAAGGAATGGAGGTTCAGTGGAGCTGATCGAGGGTCAGGACCATGGGTTAGCATTAAACAATACATGAGGAAGTATAAAGTCATAAGATGCAGGTGCTAGACCATGAACTGCTTATTAACAAGCCACCACAAATGGATGCTTTTGAAAAAAATGCAATTGCTAAGCATATGGAAAGTAATATCAAAAATTGCCACCAGGGTGGGAAAATGGTATAAGCTGGAATTGACCTTAAAGATAAAACTTCCAAGCATACAAATATAGATATGCTCAAGGTTATTCCATGCAGTGTTAATGACAGTAATTGAAAAGTCTTGAAAACATGCCCAAACATAAGAGAGTGGTGAAATATATGATGGTACATCCATTTGCTGGAATATTAGGCAGCTGTAAAAAAGAATAAAGATGCTTTCTGTGCAATGGTATGAAGTTATTTCCAGCACATATTGTAAGCTGAAACAACAAAAGTCTAAAGAGAATCACTGTGGTATGCTATCTGTTGTAAAAGAAAAGTGGGAACTTTTAAAATAGGCATCATATCTGCTTCTTTATTGCAAAATAAAACAGAAGGGCACTACCAGGAGTAATGAAGAGCAGACCTACAGAGGGACAGGTGGGATAGGTAGAAGTGATGAGGGGGTGGGAATCAGCAAGGAGTTCTGGGAGGATCGAACTCTCATCTGAACACACCTTCCTGGGTCATTTTGCCTCCTGAATTGTTCATGTTTTACATGCTCAATAGCAATTTTTAAATAATAGAAATCAGTAAGAATGGAGGAAAAAAACCTAAAGTGTAATACAAACAGAAGCAGATAGCTGTGTTTCAAATGGATATAAGCATACTGAGGAAAGGGGGGAAAGAGAAGCTACCCCAGTAAATTTTGAAAATAGTATTTTGACTAAAGAAAAAAAACTATAAACAAATAGAGAAGTCGAAAGGGAAGGTTTGAAGTGGGATTCGGTTTGTTTGCTTTATTTTTTATTATTGTTTTGCTGCTTAGCAATTCTGAAACGACTCCTGAGTGTGTTCTATAATGCAGAAAATAAGTAAATGCATTGATGGGAGCCAAGCTCCTCGCTATCAGAAAGGAGTTAAAAATATGGAGAACAGAAGGATGAATGTGAATGAAGAATATGGGGAAAGGAGAGAGAATGAGTGTGTGTGTTGGATCAGTACTGGAGGACTCAAGATGAGCACGTGGTCATAGAGAGGGGGCCACTGAGCTTGTTCTGCAGAAGATTAGATAAAAAGTACTTAACCCTCTTGCAGTAGCACCAAAGCAGCCACTAGACACTACAGAAGCAAACAGTCCCAGCAGTGTTCCTGTAAAACATGGTCTGGACACACTAAAATACAAATTTTACAGAATGTGTCCTAAAAATTGCATTTTTTTTATCATTTAAAAAATGGAAAAACCATTCTTAGTTTCCAGACTATACAAAAACAGGCAGCAGACCAGTCTTGGCCGATGGACTGCAGTTTCTGACCCGTTGATTGATAGCAAACATGATAAATTGTGTAAGGTGGGGAATCTGGATAAAGAGGCTATACAAGAGTTCTTTATAGTCCTCTTGCGACTTTGCTATAAATCTGACATTATTTTTTAAATCACAAAAAGAACCCTATACCACCCACAACAACTGCTGAGAAGGAAATCATTTGCTTAAGGAGCAAACACCTTCCTTTATATAATATGAGCACCTCTCCCCCACTCTGTGGACCACGAGGAGGAGCTCCCTCTATTGCTGTGGAGGGTTCCTGTCTGTAGCTGGGGCTGTCACCAGATGACAGCATTATTTTCCCCTGTTCATCCCTGTTCTCTGTCACTCTTGGTGAGTGATGAGGTCACTGGGCTGGTAATTTATATATGACCTTGTGATTTTCTATAATCAAGAATTTTTTGGTCTGCTATAATTAAAATGAACTAAATAAAAGTTGCTTATCAGAAACTGACCCATTAGCTTGAAGTCTGTGACAAATCCATTCTGACTTCCTTAATGCATCATTAGAAATCAGTTACATAGCATGGTCACCTCACTCATTCCACCAGCCATAATCTAGCGACAGCTATGAACAGTGACTAGAAATCTCGTAAAATACTATGAGTAGGAGCTGAGTGAATTTTATATTAGAAATACCTTTTATTCTAGAAGAGTGAGTGTCCACTTTGTATCCCCGTGACCATTATTCCCCCAACAAGAACAACTTACAGGAGAAGAGGGTTATTTTGACCCACAGTTTCAAGCTCTTTGTCTCAGGTGAGCAAGAGCATCATGGCAGAAGGACCTGGCAGAGGAAAGCTCTCAGCCAGGAAGCTGAGAGAGAGCTTGGGTGCCAGAAGCCAGGGATAATATAATCCCCCCAGGATGACACTAATCCCCCAGTGTGTGTGTTGGGACACCCCCAGGGACTTACCGCCTCCAGCCATGCCCTACTTCCTACAGTTACCACTGTGGAGCAATCTCCTGATTAGGTCACGACTCTTGTAACCCAATCATTTCACCTCTGAACATCCGTGCACTGTCTCACACATGAGCTTTCCAGGGACACCTCACACCCAAACCATAAGAACTTGTAAGGAAACCTCTGTTGTATTAGCTGGTGATCATTCCACTTATCCTTTACTGGTTTAATTTCAACAAAACCAAATTCCCACCTTGGCTTACCATTGCAGGTAACCACACCCTGCTCTTCATTGAGAACAGAGATGGTGGTGGCCTCGCTGAAATTCTGATGCAAATTGATGGCAAATGTTTTCCATCCGTTTGTTTCCATTTAATTCTAAAGCAAACTCTGAAGTACTATTATTGTCTCCTTTACACAGATGAGGCTTAGCGATATCAAGTGACTCCACCCAGTTTTCACTTGATTGGAACTGGCCTTGGGAGTCAGTGCTCTTAGCTGTTGGTTAGGACAATAAGAAATACAGAAATTCAGAAAGGAGTCGCTGAGTCATGCAGACGTGCTTCTGTTGAGAAGGAAAGGGTAAACAGTGCACAGAGCTGGTCCCAAGGCCAGAGCTAGAATTCACAGTGGAAAGGCCTTCACATCCGCTGACTCGCTGACCTGCTCACTCACCTACAGAGCTCAGGAGCAAGTGGGGAAGTGAGGAGGCTTGAAGTCCAAGCACACACGACTCACGCCTTCTGGATGTCACCACCTTCAGTTGTACCCACCCAGGTGTCTACTAGAGGGAACAGGAGACTGGGAAGGAAGGAGGAAGGCTAGAGCCTGGGAAATGAAGTCGGAAGTTTGAGCAAAGGGACAGGGGATGCTGGAGGGCCTGCAGGAGTGGTTTTGTCCCATTCATAAGGAGAGACTGAAAAGCAGCCACTCAGGCTGACTGCCCTGTCCCCTTCTGTTGCCACCTGCTGCTCTAAAGCCCTGAGTGGATGCATATTAATCCCTAGGTCCTGGTGGCTCCATGACCACTCCAAGATAAGCTTCTGTTTTGAATGACATGGAGACAGTTGTCACTATAATGCATGGCATGTGATTCTATCAGGCTTTCTTACGCTGCTGCATTTCTTCCTTTTTTTTTTTTTTTTTTTTTTTGGTACCAGGGATTGAACCCAGGGGTGCCTAACCCTTGAGCCACATCCCCTGCACTTTTTATATTTTATTTAGAGACAGAGTCTCACTGAGTTGCTTAGGACCTTGCTAAGTTGCTGAGGCTGGCTCTGAACTCGTGATCCTCCTACGACACTGGTATTACAATGCACCACCACACCCAGTACCCTGTTGCATTTCTTCCAAATTTTTAAAATAAATTTTTTTGGGAGGGGTACTGGAGATTAAACCCAGGGGCACTTAACCACTGAGCCACATCTGCAGCCCTTTTTTTTATATATATTTTAAGACACAGTCTCACTAAGCTGCTTAGGGTCTCCCTAAGTCACTGAGGCTGCACTTGGCTTACCATTGCAGGTAAAACCACACCCTGCTCTTCATTGAGAATAGAGATGGTGGTGGCCTCACTGAAATTCTGATGCAAATCAATGGCAAATGTTTTTCATCCATTTTTTTTTTTTTTTTGTGGATCCTCCTGCCTCAACCTCCCAGCCACTGAAATTACAGGCATATGCTACCAGTAATTTTCTAATGTGAGGGGGACAAAAAGTGCTACAGTTTAATAGCAATAATAATAAACTTTTGAGAGGACTAGTCACCATTTAATTCAATTATTTATATAACAGTTGATCAGTAAGGTAATTGACTCCATATTAACCAATATACAAAGTTGAATATTAATATCTAGACATCTTGTCTTTTGGATATAAGAAGGATGGGGGGAAATGTTTCTTTGTGGAAGCCCCCAGGGAATTGGAAATCCAGGAGAAAAGTAAAATCCATGTAGAATTTGGTCACCCATGACGCATGGCATGTGATTTTTATCACACGGAATTCTGGACGTGTTTTTCATTCACTTTCCTTTCTTTTTAGGGACTGGTTAAACATGCTGAGCCCACCGATTGTTCCTCCCAGTCAACAGCCGACCGAGCCGCATCCAGACTCCTCTGGAAGCTTCAGCGCTCAAGGTGGGAATATGAAAAACACTATGCATAAAAAAATAAAAACAATGTATTACGAATAGAGAAAGTCTGTCACTTTGAGATGCCACTGTTTTCGTTAAGTGCTGTTTATTATGCTCACACACCGAAAATGAGGTGATGCTGTTCCTAATTTTTTTAGATTATTTGTTTTATATATATATTTAGTTGTAGATGGATACAATATCTTTCTTTATTTATTTTATTTGATGCTGAGACTTGAACCCAGTGCCTCCCACATGCTAGGCAAGCACTCTGCCACTGAGCTCCAGCCCCAGCCCAGATTTTTTAATAGCGGAGAGAGAAATTGTCCCTGTCCTTCTAAAGGTTAATCCTAGGGGAAAATCCAGCTTAGGGCTTAAGAGCATGGTTTGGTATCAAACTGACCATCTGAATCTCACTTCTGCCAATTCTCACTGCGTGATCTTTATGAATGTCAGTCACCACATCTGTGAAATAATCCTAATAATGGTACCACCTGGTGCTCTCCTGTGACGCTTCAATGAGTAACCATATGTGAAGCACTTAAAATGGTTCCTACCAAATACTTCCTGGCGTTATTATTACAAAGCACACTCAGAACTCTGATATCCCTTAGAAACAGTCACGGGCTGCATCCTGAAGTTTCACTGGACCACATGTGCCATAGAGGTCCCTGTGATTATAATAGAGCTGAAAAATTCCTATTGCCTAGTGTCCTGTCATCGCCGGCCACCACACCATCACAACACAACACGTCGCTTATGTGTTTGTGGTAATGTGACTGTGCTGCCAGTCATATAAAAGCATAGCACACATAAGTATGCACAATAAATAATACTTGATGATAATAAATGACCATGGTATTGGTTTAAGTATTTACATTTTATACTTGCTTTGGTATTTTAGAATATACTCCTTCTACTTAAAAAGTGGTACTTAAAAAGAATAGTCTGCTGTAAAATAGTAGGCCACCGTGCACTATCCGCAGACTCAGACATCCCCGTGTACTGTGTCTCTTGATTGCACCAAGAGGCCACAGGGAGTGATTGACCTAGACCAGCTAGGTCCGCATTAGGCACACACTGTGACATTCTCTCAAGGACAAAACCACCCAACCCTGCAATTTCTCAAAACAGGTCCCCATCATTAACACATACTTGTCCGTGTTTTCATTAATACAAAGATACAGCCTTTTTACTAAAGCAAAACCTGTCCCCTAGCTAGGCTAGACATCAGTCATATAAAAGCTGGAAGGAAGCAGGAATGAAAATTTGTGCACTGTTCCCTCTGTTGGCAAGAACCACGGAGAGGACGGGCTACTTTCTGGCTAGAACCAGAGAACTTGATGGTCAGGACTGTGGGGAGGAGGAACCCAAAAGGATCTTTTGGTAAAAAAAAAAAAAAAAAAAACAGGGGTTGCAATAGGAGAGGTGGGAGTGATCTCAAGTGACAGATGACCTCAGAGCAGGACTCTGAGACACTTTTCTGGGTTGAATTTTGAAGATGAAAGCACTGTATCTGAAGTTGTCAAAAAATGGAAGTGAAACCAATATAAATTGCTCTGACAAAAGCGCTGGGGTTTTGGGGTTTTTTTCTTTTTTTTCCTAACTGCCCCAGGGAGAAAGTTGGAGCATTCCATTTTTCTTCAGGTGTGGGGAATTCAGAGTGAGAGCTCATACATCTGAGTTGTACGTTCTGGCCGCCCAAGGGATGGAGATGTCTCTGTGATTTACTATCTGAAATAGATTATGCCCCTCAAATTGGGAATCTTTTTAGAGGTGTACATTTATAATTACTTATGACAGAAAAATAGAATCTTGGCTGTCAGGAGGAGACCTTGCTGGGAGGGAACAAATAATATGTTATGTTAAGTGTCCTAAATAAGCCACAGGAACCGAGAGCGTGGTCCTTGAGCAAAGGCACCCAAGATATATGTTAGTGATAAGTGGCTGGAAGGGTGTCTTAAAGTCACCATCGCAGAGCTGGGTTCTGACAGCAGGAGCTCTGTTATGCTGTAGGTAAACAGAAGTTCCATTGAGAGCAAATTAACAAATTCAGAGGATCGTAGAATTGAGCTGGCCAGAGTGACCCAGATCTGGCACCCTTTCTGCCCATCACCCTTGGCTCTCATCAGCTGTCCCCTCTCCCGTGCTCCAGTGGTTTGTAGTTAATTAATGCCATCACAAACCCATGTTCCCTATTTGCTCACCCTCCCCTTTTCTGATATGCTTGCATGGTTTATAGTTAATTAATACCATCAAAAACCATCTCCCATTTGGTTCATCTTTACGGGGTCATGGTGTGGTTTTGACAGCCTAGCACAGTCAGTACTGAGCAATACACAGAGAGAGAGAGTCTCCTTCTGTTCCTGTAGAGTGTTTGTCAAAGAAAAATAATGGGCTCAAGTTTCTAGTTCATATCATTAGAAGAGGAAGTGAGGCATGGCTGTGGGCATTCTGGGATTCTTCTTGGGTTTCTATTGCATAGTGTCATTTATTTGACACTTACTGTATACCAGAGGCTGTGCTCAGTTGTTACTTTTAGCCCTCACAACACCACCATGGGGCATATACCCTGTAAATGTGTGTGTTGTAGTTAGGGAAACTGAGACACACAGTTCTTAAACAATTTTCCCAAGGTCACGCAACTGCTAAGAGGTAGGGTTTGAGCCCAAACAACCTAGCCCCCAAAGCCTAGCCGCTATTTTTTTTTTTTTACGCTTTGGGTTCTCAGCCAGGTAAATAGATTACCTGCTCAAAAGAACAATAGATAAAGCCAAGAAATGGAAATTTTTTTTTCTATTGAGAATTTCTAATCTCTAAGAAAACCAAATCAATATCTCAAGGGCTTAGTAGCTAGGTTCTTTTTTTTTTTCCATGTTTTTATTCATTCTTTTTAGATATACATGAAAATAGAGTATATTTTGACATATTTATGCAAACATGGTGTATATCTTATTCTAATTAGGATCCCATTCTTGTGGTTGGACATGATGTGGAGTTTCCCTGGTCGTGTGTTCATATATGAACGTGGGAAAGTTCTGTCCCATTCACTCCACTGTCTTTCCTATTCCCTCCCCCTCCCTTCCTTCATTTCCCTTTGTCTCATCCAGTGAATTTCTATTCTCCCACCCCCCTTGTGAGTCAGCATCCCCATATCAAAGAGAGCATCTGGCCTTTGGTTTTGGGGATTGGCTTATTTCACTTAGCATGAGTGTGTCCAGTTCCATACATTAACCAGCCAATGCCCTCATTTCATTCTTCTTGATGGCTGAGTAAAGAAGCTAGGTTCTTAAAGCCAGAGCGAGAGAGACACCCCTCAGGTGACAGTTTCAGCTCTGGACCTGCCTGCTCTCCCACCCATACCTGTTAGAAGTGGCAGGTAGCCCCCAGTTGACCAGACTGAGGGTGAGGGCAGCCCAGTGAAGCACAAGATGGACCGACCCTGGAAGTGCCTGGCCACAGTCTTAAGTCAGTGGGACTCCCCACTTCTGTGGCCTCTACTTCCCCTCCTAACACGTCCTTCAGGGCCTCTTTGTCTTTTGCAAATCTTGATTTACTTATGGTCTTTCTTCCTAAGTAGCCTAAAAATGTTCAAGAGCAGAGACCTTGTCATTTTGCTCCTTCCTGGATCCCAAGTCCCTTTGCCATTTCTGGCATATATTAGATTCTGTAAATTCTCATTAGAAAAAAGACAAGAAGGGAGAGAGGGAGGGCAGGAAGGTGAGAAATGGTCTTCCACTGGTCATTTCCTACAACAACCATAAAAAAAATACATTAAAAAGAGGACAATTCATTGAAATTTGACCTTCAGTTTTCTCCCTAATTTTGGTTTTTTGGTATAATTGGGATATTTCTGAATTTCAAACATGAAAGTGTTGAACTTAAACCCATATATTTTAGCAATTAAAAAGTTATAGATCGCCTTAGGCAGTGGCTCTTAAACTCTAGTTTTAAGCGGTGAACACTTATTTCAAATGAGAGCTCATGTGGTTTCCCAAAAGGCAGAAGAGGCTAAAAGCAGAGCTGCTTTGGCTTAAAGGGGAGAATTAGGGTCTCAGGATTCTGCCCTGGAGCTCTGATGAACCAGGGGTGTTGGGCCTCCTCAGTTTGCCTGAAGAGGTAAATAACTTGCCCAAGGTCAAATGTCCCATCAGAGCCCCAGCTAGGATAGGGTCCCAGACTCCTCCACATCCATGTCTTTCTGCTGAACTATTTTGTTGGCTTGTGAGTATGATTTGTGCTGGTTCCCAGGGAAGACAAGTGGACCATTCAGACTTGGGGGATAAAGATAACAGCTCACATGTATTTCATCTTCCCATGTTCTGGGCACTCAAACAGCCTTCCGAGGGTGTTGTTACCCCATCTTCCATCTTCCACATAGTTCCCTGGGACCAAGATCCTTGAGATGACACGCTGGACCACCACACCTCCATCAGAGATGGGAGGCCAACCTGCATTGTGCAACTGCCTGCCTTCTAACAGCAGGGAAAGATGGCCCGACACTCTGGAATTCTAGAAAACACACCCAGTCCATGCAAAAAAAAGTGCATGAGTTTACATCTCAACCCCGAGGTTCCTGTCCCTACTTTATTCAGTGAGAGTTTGTGTCACAGCCAATTTCTGCCCAGCCAGAATGTCTCAAGTGTATAAATGCCACCTTCAAGTGGGCCAAGCGACCAGCAGGAACAGCGATGCTCTGTGATCCCTGCCACCCGACTGGATGGGGAACAGTTGGCGCCTCGCAGTTCCTCCTGGGCTATAATATACTTGCTGAATACCAATTACCAGGAGCACCGGTGCCCTCCACACTTACTAAAAATGTGTTTTCTGGGAGCTCATGTGAAATATAAAAATTGGAAGTTAAGATTTCAGAACTTACTCAAGAAAACTACCAAACTGACCTTTTGAAAATGAACCATACTTGGCTCGAAGAATAGTTGTCAATTTGTTTTTGACATTTGTTCCTTTACAGATATGACCCTTCAATTATTCATGCCCACCAGC